ATGCGCCTTTATTGTCTGTGGAAGCTCCACACATGTGCAGTGTGTTTGATGAATGTTTGTCCATTATGGGAGGAAAATGAAGAGAATAAAGACCTCGCAGTGCTACATCTGACACTGAGAAAACATCTGTTTGTCAAGTTCATCCAGAAGTGTGCCGATAAGGTGCTGAGGTGATTAAGGAGATGCCTCTGATCCATAAAAGTCTTATGTTTATAAATAATAAAGTGTAGGCTTTTCATGCAAAGACCTCAAAACACTCTCATGCTCTTAAAAGCATTCAATGTGGTGAACGACAAAACCATGCCATCAATTATTCACATTGTGAGCTGACATAGCATGACACAACACAGACAAATGGCAATTGAAATGCTAACTTAAAAGTGTCATGGGAATAATTTTTTATACATCCTAGTTATGTGTTACACATATGAAGATAATTGTTCCTACAGTATTCTCAAAGTTTGCATATATTTCAGAAGTTATTTTTTGCTTTATTTTTATTTGGCCTTATTGAGTTTGGAAAATCACAGATATTTTTTGTAGAGGAGTCCTTGCCCCAGAGGAAACTGTCAAATCTAGTGAGATGATTATTTTTGTCCTTTTTAAAATAGCATTTTTTAAGAAAAAATAAATAAATAAATAAAAGTGATAGTCAGATGTAGTTTTGTACCTGATGTTTTCTACTGGTGAAATCAAATAATATGCATATTAGACTAGGGGTGTGCAATAAATTTTCTAAATGCAGTGTCTAAATGTTTTTGTTTGCATTATCTCTATATTTTAACAATGCATTAAGAATGTGCTCAAATGTGCCTGTAAATGTCTTGGTTGAGGTTCAAGACCCACAAAAAGGGCACTTTATACCTGTGTTAAGAATATCACAAAACATTTCTGTCTCTTTTTAAGCCATTGTATTTGTTTTTATTATAGCCAATATACTCTAAAATCTAATTTATCATATCTACAAAACCACAATTGTAACATTATGCATTTGATGAAGTATATCAGACAATCAGTTGATCTAGTTGACAAACTACTGTTACACTTGAGTACTGTAATAAGTAAGTCATGTCTATGATACAGTAATTGACCTATATGACTGTTGCTCTGATGATTCTGTAAAACCACAGTACATCGCTGGCTGACCCACTGAGCTCCAAGTAGTGCACTTACACAGCGTCCCATGTTGAACATCCCCTGCCGTCCACACTGCTCCCTCCTCACAGTTCCACACAGGCGCTTTTGGCCGGGGGGTAAATTAAGCCCTAACATTCCCACAGAGACTAATCTCCATCCATTTAGAGGGCTGTAATATTTAATCAGCAGTCCCTCCACTGGCTGTGGCGTGGCTCATATGTTCACACACACAGCAGCCCAAGGGCGAGCGCTCAAAACCACAATCACACCAGGCTCACTTCACTCTTGAAGATGTGGTAGAGATTTGAAGTGGGTCAGAGCAGATAGGGGAAAATATTCATATTTGTCTGTCTATTCTATGATATAAGCCTCAAATCCAAAATAGGACATATTTCATAACTTTAATTTTCATATTCTCCCAAATACTTATCATTTCATCTCTCTCTTATTGTTATCATTGTTGAGTCTACTAGAGATTTCAAACAGCTTGGATTAAGTCCTGGGTGACAGACATTTTAACCATAAATTCAAATAATATTCATTATTATACTGGGCGTATGTACATGACTCTTGTAATGATAATCACACTATTGGTCATAGTATGCAGTATAAATGTTTATTATTATTGACTACAATAATGTTTGGAGCAGGGCTGGTTTAAAAGGCACTGAAGTAAAATTCCAAAAGAGAAGAGTATTTAGACTCAAATATGGTTGATTTTATATCTATCTATATATATATATCTAGATCTAGATATATCTATATCTCTATCTATCTATCTATCTATCTATCTATATATATACATATACACACACACACATATGTATGTGTATATATATATATATTTATTTATTTATATTTATTTATTTTTTTTTTTTTTTTTTTTTTTGAGCCAATACCAACACACACAAATATATATATATATATATGTGTTGGTATTGGCTCAAAAAATCCATATCAGACCATCCCAAATATAGTACACTTACAATGTGTGTATATACTGTCGTTTAGTACATTTTCATCTATAGACTGTATATTATGTATACTTACATACATCTGTAACAATAATGTTTTTCTCTGTGACTCCACAGTTCTGTCAGGGGTGGACGTTGTGGCTCGTCCTGCCTGAAGGTCTCACCTCGGCTCCAGCTGCTGACACATGGACTAAGCAAAGGTCAGGCCTCTCACCCTCAGTGTGAAAAGCCCACATGAAAAGGGTACGCTCCATCTGCCTTTATCGGCTGGGACTTGTGGCCCGCGCTGTCTCTGTGTGTGAAGACATTTACCTTTCAGTGCACAGGTCTGAACCTAGTGCACTTGGACACAGGGCATCTGCTGTGATTTGCTGTTTACTAAACATAACATTTGCGCTGCTTAGTCTCAAGTGATAAAAGTGTCATGCATGGGCCTGCTGTAATGGCTGCGCCCTGATTTGGACTGACTCTAATGGGACGGCCTGGTGAATTTTTCATACAGCCCAGAGGGGAGGACCAAAGCCCATAGAGCCACCCCACAAGCTCAGAGAGGTACATGGACAGGGTTAAAGAGGAGGCTGCCATACACTTTTGGCTTCCATTTCAACTGTGGAGGAGCAAATTTACAGTTTAAAAGTTCCAAAGAATTCAGTGTTTTAAAGATTTCTAATATCCATCAGTTTGCTTAATTCTTGAGGTTACCTCAGTTTTTTAGAGAGTACACCTTAGACGGATGGTCAGAAAGTTGCAGAGCACAAACACACACACAGACAAAATAATTCTTCTCTCTCCACAAATAGAATAGAATATCATATCAATATTTTTTTTCCTTTGCTGGGAGGGAGGAAGTTAGAAGTTATTTTAAGTAGAATCCACAATCTCCATACCTTGTACCAGGAGTATGAATGAATGAATGAATGAATGCCTTTATTGTCAATTTCTTCACATGTACTAGACATACAAAGGAATCAAAATGGGACCTGTCACCCCATCGGTACATTACAAATACACAATACAATATGACATGGGGAGACTAGACATGGACCAGATCGGAAGACGGGTAGCAGAGGAAGAAACAATGCAACATAATAAAATAATGGGGGAGGAGAAAGTATGTATAAATGTATTCTCATTTAGGAAAAAAATAAAATATTACTTTTAGAGCATGAATCAGTGACAATCTCAGAATTGACAAGACTCCATTAGACTGACCCCTTTCAAGTACAATTAACAAAAGTCAGCTAAATTGTGGCCAAGATCGTAATTTAATGGGCTGTAATTTCTGCAAGAAAGCTCTAAAAATGACCCATCTGTTCAATGCGCACATGCCTTACAAGACTCTCATATTGCTCATAGCACTGTCTTGCGTATGCAAATATGTTTTGCCTGGAAATCTATTTGGAGTTGCTCGAAGGAATCCAGAACGGCCCTCCTTCTGTCCGCCCCAGCCCCTCACGCGTGGCTCCTCTCACCGTCTATGTCCTCTCGCGTGGAAGACATTTCACCAGCTCCACACACGCTGCACACACGGTCCACACACACAGTGAGCTTCAAGCACCATGGGCCAATATGCAGATCTGGTAGGCCCGCAGACCGCCGCCCTGTCTGCCAGCGGGACAAGCAGACCCGCAACTGTTTGTGCTCTGGGATTATACATGCAATGCACAGGGGAAGAATTTTCCACTGACTGAACAGTGATCTGAGCATCCCAAGCACAAGGATCAAATCTGGTGATGGCAACCTGTGTAGAAAATGAAAACTGGTGAGGAAGGATGCTATATAATTGCTCTAGTCTGCAGAAGATAATTCATTTGAGATCATGTAAATTTAGAAATATATTTAGTATTTAGTATTATGGTAGTAATTTAGTAGCTGAAGACAAACAAACATTTGCCAAAACAACTTCTTTGTTCCTAGTCTCTTTATCCTGAAGAGTTGCAGTACATATGAGAGGCACGAGGATGGAGAGTGTTTGTGGACTTGAGGGCTCAGAAGCCGCAGCCTGGGCAGATGGTGCACAAAGGTGTTACCACACAGTCAGTGGGCACTGCGATTGATGCATTCCAACATCCAAGAAGGTGGAACATTTGGCTGCTGACCCGCAGTCAGAGCTCATCGGCCCTGCCTTCACTTCTCCTCATTTAGCCGCTGCTGCCAGAGAGAGCCCACGGTGATTTTCACTCAGAAACACACGCAGTTTCTCAGCCTCAAGGGAGCGGGCGCCTGGATGCACTGTGGAGGAAAAAGTTCAGTGTTTTGTGCAAGGAGGTCACCACGAGAGGAGGACGTGGGGCTGCTGTGTTACACTTGGATGGACAACATTTGACCCTCAGCTCATTCTCAGGGGCATTTATTAGTGTAGCAGTTCCATATGACTTGGTCTCTGCAAGTAACATGTAACACATCCATCTCATTATGGCTCTTGCCCTCATTACAAGAAATCTGCCTCTTACTTTACTACAGCATCACAGGACAAAAGGACAAAAGACATAAAACACAGGAGGCTTTGTGTGATACTATTCTGTATACTTAAATAATGAGGAGAATTGAATTACATTATTATTTCCAATTGTGTCATGGGGGGATGATTAAAAAAGGAAGGGCCACAGTTCAAAGACGAGCACTTTACTCCAATAACAAACACCATTTTTAATTCAGATCGCATAATTTTATTTCAGACCCAAAAGCATTGTTACATCATTTCAAATAGATTAAATTCCAGTACAGTGTTGAGTTAAAGGCAACATTCACAAAAATACAGATTAATAATGAATAATAATTAATAATTCTTAAAAGAAAATGTAATTAATAATAATAAGGATTTCCTAAACAAATACATTAAATAAATTTGGTACATTTTCCTTGACTATTTAGTATATGTATATGCTTTTAAAATGCTCCAGTGGCAGTAGTAATTATTTCATTAAGTAATATTAGTAATGGTGAAAGCACATTATTTGAGACACAGGTAAGCTGCTGCTCTGTCCCTAGGCCTCACTGCTGCACACATTGCTCTGGTCTTTGTGAGTCTCCTCTTTCTCCGGTCTCTCTATACACGACCTATGTTAAAAATAGTGGTTATCTTCAAAAGGCATGTAACATTTCCTTGGACTGAAGTTACCATGTGGAAGAGCAAAGTCTACTAAACACAAAGCGTGTTATAATGAGTCCTACATAGATCTCCACAGCCTTGTCAACCCATGCTCTGGACACAGGCTCCTGTCAGTCATCATCTACCACCAACACATTTCCGCTGAGGTCGTAGCTGATGGAGGCCCAGTCAAAGATGTTTCCCTTCGGGATCTTGTGCCGGTAGTGCCAGGCCTGGATCATACTTCTAGACAGAACATAGTCCCACATGTTGAGGTCGGTGAGCTCACCCACAAAGCTCTGCTGGGCCTCCAAAGCCCCCAGGTGTTTGTCAGGGTCCTGCCCCAGGAGCACAGTGCCTTTGGGTCGGATGGTGTGGCCCGGTTTGTACACCTGGTATGTGCTGCGCTTACCGTCAAACCAGAATGCCGCCAGGCCGGTGCGAGACTCCCAGGTGAGGCAGAGGCTAGTGCGGAAAGTGCCCAGGGGGGGCAGGTGAAAGGAGGCCCCATCACCACTCATATAAAAGGAAATGCGCCCGTCCTTCTCACGCCACACGTTAAGCTCATCATAGTCGGGAGTGCGGTAGGCAAACAAGATGATCTGCCTCTCCTCAGGCAGCTCTGTGGCTACACGCATGCACAGAGTGAAGGCCCTTAAAGCCAGTTCCTTCTGAGGGATCAGAGCCACATAACTGAAGTCTGTCTCATAAGGGAAGATCAGCACTTTATCGCTCAGACCCACTGCCACAAAAAGGAGTTTAAGTTTAGAATGATTATACAACATAAATGACAATGATGTTCTTCTGTGCCTTACTTTGTGTTGCCGAGTTGTAAGTCAAACACAAAGCCAACACACAAAGCCGAGAAACAGGAGAACTCTGAAGACACATAGTAAGTCTCAAGATAATAATTCTCAGAATGAAAAGAATATATATAATTTTATACATTCCTATTTAAAACACATCCTTACCATGTTGTTGTTTCTGTCTTGTCCTGTGTTCAGCGCTCTTCCCAAATGGCACCAGTCGAACGTCAGCTCTTGAGTGGACACTCACAATAGACACAGTGTTACTGGGGAACACTCTTCCCCTCCTGTGTCTGCATCATGGACCAGAATATGCTGTACGATTACAGTGGACTGGTCAGACTATATTTTTTTATCAATATTTTTGCAATCCATAAAACATTTATTTAGAATGTTATTTTCTTATTCTTCTTTTATAGTATTTTGTTCACAATATTGGCACATTTATTATCTAAAATATCCATTCAGTAAATCACATCACCAATGCAAGTGTCACTGTTTAATGAGGACCAATGAAAACCAAAGCAGGAAATAGTTATTGACATATCTACATTTAATACAGTTTCTCAAACTCTAGAGAAAAGGAACCCTATTTTGTCAAGAATTAAAATTTCACAATACACAAGCAAATTATACACACTGCCTCCATCTTACAGTGAACCAACACTAAGATCAGCCAGTTCATTACAAGAAAAGCAGAACAGCACACAGAACCTGGGCTGAGGTACGGAGAACAAATGCTCCCTCCAGCATTATTTTACCACATTATTTTCTGAAGTAACAAAACAAAGGCCAATACAAACAGGTGGGAATAACCATCTTTTTGTCAAATTCTCCACTGAGTTTTACTGTCACACAAAAGGCAATATTTAGAGACATCAAATCTTTTCACTTTCATCAACACACAAGCAGCTTTTCAAGAGATTGTAAACCTGGCATTTCCTGCCGGTATCCTCATTCAGTGACTATCCAGCTTTTTTGTATGGAGTCTTTGTCAAGGCTTCTTAAGGCCCTGTTTTATACAAAATTTTTGATAACTTTAGATTAAATCTAAAACATTGTATACATTCAGTTTGTTAACTCTGATACATGGTGTGAGATGAACTGTTATTTTTAGTTTGTGGAAACAATTGGCCCCATCTTGAGGCAGAGAAGGGAACTGGTTGATTGTATGAGCTTTGTGAGTGTGCAGTAAATGGACAAATATTTATGATAAATACAAGTTGTAGTTGAGTAGAATGGTCTTCATTGGGTCTGTTTCCATTGTGTGTGCTGTGCATACTGTGGGCATCTGTGAAACACTGCAGTGCAAAGTCTTCGTAGGAATTGTGGCACTAAGAAACAAGAAGAGTCAGAGGGCCCTTATGCAAGTCAATGTATAAGACAGGGCTGAGAGGGACGTTGAACAGTTCAGAAGGGAACAGCAAACCAGCTGGTAACAGCAAAGGTCAGATGTGGAGAGAAAACGTACAGCGTCTATATGATAATCCAAAGTGTGGCTTCTCTCGATTGCGTAAATGTAATATCCAGTCATAGAGAGATCAGTTGTCTATAGTCCAGGCTCCTGTTGAAGGTTTGAGGATCAGTAGTCCTCCACCCAGCCATTCTCCTGGATAAAGGCATCTATCACCTCCTTCATGGCCAGGTTAGGGATGAGTTGGTCCTGGGTCAGTGGACTCCTGGTGACAGGGTCAAAATGACCCACTCGCTGTATAGATACAGAGACGGGTATATTATTATATAAATAAAAGATACAAATTGTAGATTTTATTTAATTACAAGTAGGGATGGGCATGATTAATCAATTAATCGATAATTGATCATTAAGAATTTCATCGACAAACCGAATGTAGGTTGCTGTGCGTAGCGTGACCAAACAGGGGTCCGTACATGTGTCTCTCTGCACTCAGAAGGAGCGAGACACAAACAGTCGGTCAGTCTGCAACGCAAATGCGTATTTAACGATGACTTGTACAAGAAATTCCACGCTTTCCGTTGCGTTCGGGACAAGTGTGAGGCCATGTGCACAGTGTACAAAGCAGCACATATGTTTCGGTGTCCAGTGGGAAGAAGTTTTGCCAGGTGAGAGTCGCGCAATGTCGATGACGAGTCCCCACCTCCCTCCCCCCGTACGGTGTCCTGGTTTTGACAAACGCAAATATGGTCACACTAACCTGTATTCCACTGATGTCTTTTAATCCAACAGAAGTTGACCGCATCAGCGACATAAGAGCTGTAGTTTTATCTTTGCTTAGTTTCTGCAAATTAGCGATGCGGTTTTAAGTTTCGTTTTTGTGAGAGTTGCGCAAAACTGCGTTAAACACATTATAATCTCAAACGGATTGATGTGGCTCTAGAGTCGTTACGGTTTATATGTCGTAAAGTTGAATTTATGTATGCAGGTTAGTAGTGCAGATAGTAATAATAATGATGGTCATTTTAATATAAACACGTTGATGATTAATCAATAATCGATCGTTAATTCTTCCGACGATCAATTAAGAACATTTCATCGAATGCCCATCCCTAATTACAAGATTCACTGTAATTAAATAAAATCCCTCTACACAGTCTGACCAGTTGAGAATAACAGCTTCTACCTCATTGCTGATGTAATAAAAATACACGTACTAACCTGTAAATGCTCCTCGATGTCCTTGCGATCGTAAGTGATTCCACTGGGTGTGATGCAGGGCTCTCTCATCAACTCAAAACTGATTTTACCACAGAGGTAATCTGGGATCTCACGTTTCTGCAGAATATTTTGTTATGTTCAATGCACTGTTCTATTTACTGCTTCTGATTCTATACCACTATTAGTGATGAAACCAATTGTTTTTTTTTATGTGTAACTCAGTCTGTGCACACTTGGTGGGTTATACTTACTTTTCTCTTCTCATCCACTTGAGAGAAGAGTTCATCCATGTCCATTAGGTATTTGTCCTTAAAAGATGGAACATAACAGTGAAAAATGACAAAGGGACTGAAAATAGTTTCACTACTATATATAGGCAAGACAAGACCTACATGCTTTGTGGCAATTTTTGTCGCATCACCTCCATTTTGATTATCATCCTGGTTCTTCTTGAATTCATCCATTTCTCTGTGAAGGGTGCATCAAATAAAGTGTTCAACTATATGGTCTGATTGTGTCCGTGTCAATTGTCAAATGTTGTGGAGCGCACCTTTCCTTATCAGCTAAAATGAGTTTAGTCAGATAAGCATGCAGCTCATTTTCCTGATTAATTCTCTTCTCCTCAATGTTGTTCCAGCGTTTCTTTTTGGCAATGCGCAAAGCACTTGGAATGTCATCTCCAAAATTCAGCCTCTGTTCTTTAGCCAAGTTGTAAGCTAGGCAGCAAAAACAAAAAGGTGTAAGATCATGTTTGCTTAACATAGGTATTTTACATGTTTATTCTGACCCTTTTGCAGGTTTCCAATGGCCTCATCATAGTTTTCAAGCTCCAAGTGACATTGGCCCAGGAAAAAGTGTGCCTTGACTGACTGACTGTCCAGCTCCAGAGCATGTTTACAGTCAGCCAGAGCTTTGTCATATTGCTGCAGTTTCACATGGCAAAGTGCTCTGTTAGTGTAGTACACTGCCACGGAGGGATTACGATTCTGTTAAGAGAAACACAGTAGAAATATGAGAACAATGAAATCTGAAAATAACATCCATGGCTGCACATGGCACAGGCTGTAATCGCCCTTTATTGATGCCATACTCACTATAGCTTTGCCGTAGCATGTTGCAGCCTCCTGGTACTTGCGACAGAGGAACAGTCGGTTCCCCTGCTCTTTCAATTCTTGTGCGGTTGAAGTCTTTTCCGGGCTGCCGGCCATCTTCTCCACCGGCTCCGCGGGGCCCGTTTCGCCCTGTTTCCCTATCCTGTTCCCCGTCTCTTCGGCTTGCTATCAGACTGGGTTATGAATGCCTCGTCTCTCCAAGATATCTGGCTGCGGGACACAGACAATATGCATAGAGTCAGGTTTTAGTTTAAGTGTATCACCGCAATGCACCTGCAATGCGCGTCTGAACAGAGCTGCAGCAGTTACGCGTTATGACAAATAATTAACAAAGTAGTACCAATTATAATAATCATTATATTCATTATAACTATACAATTAAATAGCTTTGATTGAGTTACATTTAAATGGCATATGATGCCACTAGTACAGGATGACAGGAGAGCAATTAGCACCGCAGAGCAAAATGTACATCCGTGAAAAACACTTTTTAAAAAAATCAATAATAAAATGTTCCATAAGGATAGCTATCGACCCTTTAACGCTGCAATCGAAGAACTGAATATCACGCGAAAAAGGGGCTGCTGATCGTAATTTAGCTCTAATGCTAAACTAGCATGCCAGACTGACCAAGTATAGCGTGCATAAAAACAGTGGTGTACTTATCGAAGTACACCAATTTAAAGATCACAAACTGAGCCTGAAGAGTAATGAAATGTCATAGAACCGTTTAGAAAAATCTAGATTTTACTTGGGTCAATGTCGCTGGGCCACCTCGAAAATGCTAAGGCTAGGTTAGCTTGGTTTTTGACCGTTTTTACCTAAAAATGCAGATATTTGGCTTAAACATTGGTTTACGTAAAAGTCAGTTGTTTTTGGTCTTACCTTTGTAAAGAGATATTCACATATAAAGGATGAGAAATCGTGGTTTATTGGCAGAAATTAAGTCTTGACCAATTAACGTTATATTCCCTCACCCGAGCAGTCATAACAGGTTGTTGTTGTACTGACGTCAAACGCTTACGCACCAGCTATGGAAGCCGACAAGATACGATGCAAAAAGCAATTACAACCATGTCATCAGTATGATATTATATAATCATATATGCCATTAAATAGCGATTAGACTACTTAAATCATGTATTTTGCCGGGTTGCTTTCACTGTTTCATCAGTGTGTGTCGAAGGCTAACTGTAGTGAAATACCTGTACCAGCAGATGGTGCTCTAGAGCAGGTATCAGTGGTCTTAAAGCTCCTATGTGACACAAAATTTACTCTAGTGAGCTTTAAGCCATTTCATAATGTTGTTACCCCATCAAAAACATATCTGGAGTTGTTTGAGTAATCCTTTATTATTAGTCTGTCGCTCTGTCTACATTTCCAAAGCTCAAAATGCTCTTTTACTCTTTGTGATGTCATATTTTCATGTCGACAGCTACCTTTCACCTTTATTTCAGTAGAGATTGGCAATTCCAGAGCTGAAATTATCCAAATGATTGTAGTGAAGGTGTGTGGAGATTAAGAACATAGTGGAGCACTTCCTGTAGTACTACATGATATCAATAAGTGGAACAGAGTGTTTTCTGTTTCAGAGAAGATCTCAACCTAAATATGCAGGATTTGTGTGTTAAAAGTGTGAATGAAACAAAACACAACTCCAGGTAAGCGTTTGATGAGGAAACAGCTTTATAACATAGATTCAATTTATGGAACCTTATAACTAAGATTAACTTTATGACCATGGGCAGCAGGCTAGGTTATAAAGCCAAAGAGGAAATACAATAATTTTGGGGGCTTGTTCCCTTCACACCATGTATGAAAAAATTAAATATATACATGCCCATGACACTTACATTGGTGTGCTTTAGACATTGTAAATAAGAATTTGTTGTGGCAACGGTGCAAATTTTGGGTTAGTTTTTGGGGCTCACCATCAAACTTCGACGCCTGATAATTTGTGCAAAATTTGGCAATTTCGACCCTGAACAGACTGATGTAAGAAAATACAAAAATGGGTGCAATAGCGCCCCCTAGAAAATTTGTATGTAAAAATAAGGTTTTATTTGTCACAGATATACAACATTTGGTACCCACATTTGTGACATGGTCTCAATTAAAAAACTCAATGATGCTCACAACTATTTACATTGTGTTGCCATGGCAACAAGTCAAAATTGTATCCTTGCCAATGGGACGTCCTTACACAAACGTTGGCGTAGCCAAACCAAATTTGGTATCCAGATGCATCATGGCAATAAGAACAAAAATTTATATTGTGACCACGCCCCTTTACAAACCGGACATCCGCCATCTTGGGTAATTTTTTTTGCCAAATTTTGAAAATTGCAGGGTTAAATTAAGATTTTTAGGGCTAGGGTTGGGGCTATGGTTAGGATTATGATTAGGGTAAGGTTTAATCTTAGGCTTATTAGGGTCAGGTGTGGCATTTGCGGGGCGTGGCGTTTGCGAGGCGCGGCGTTTGCGGGGCACGGCGTAAGCGGGGCGCGGCGTAAGCGGGGCGCGGCGTAAGCGGGGCGCGGCGTAAGCACGCACGAGGGCCGATCATTGCCGCTTGCGGCTATATTTTATTGTTGTTATTATGATTATGATGATGATTATTATGATTATTATGGTTATGATGATGATGATGATGATGATTTGAAAAACATAACAATGCCATTGATTATACAGTCATTATAAATCGATTATAGTGGTTTTTTTTAATCTCCTTGAACCAGAAATATATTTGTGGGATATGTGTTTGCTGACGAATGCTCTACCATGAACCAGAGCCACCCACAAAGATTTAGCCACACACAGACTGATTCAGGGATGACCCCTACACACCCATCAGTCTTTATATTAAACATAAAAACATTTGTCATTGAAGTCTATCCTCTGAAGAATTAGCAGCGCCATGGCCATATACAAGGCTCTTTAATCCTGGCCTGTCGGATGTCTGTGAAAAGATCAGAGCTGCAGATTAGCACACATCCCCTGTGTAAACAGAGTTATGGCAGGGCCAGAGAGGAGCGGAGCGGGCACCAGCTCCATGGCTCCCCAGCTGTGTTTATCTATCAGTGCTACTGAGTTCCCCTGATCTCCCAGAGCAGCCTCACAAACCCCCTGGAGTTTCATGGAATTCCATTCAATGCAGATTCATAACACACAAACATGGCTGTTTTTAAGTGATAATAATCAGCTGCAACTAATGAACAAAAATATAATGAAAACTTGAATTTCACTTTCCTATCAAACCATTATATTTACATATACATGTTGTGATACCTTAGTTGGTATGCATCAAATTAATCAAAACTTTGAATTTATATTGATAACTATAATAATAATTGATTTTACATGGTGGTTTCAAATAAGAATAAAATACAAATGTTATGAATCAGATGGAGTACTTTCTTTAGTAATTACACTTTGTCCATTCATGCTGTATGTGTAGGCCTATGTTTGAATTAGCTAGTGTTTTCTTTTAAACTAGTTCCAACCGTCATCTTTGGCCACCCCCGGCAGACCCACCGGCTGCCCGCTGCACCAGCTGGCTCAGACTCCCGTCACCCTGGCAACCAGACCAGGAAGTTGCCCGGTTTCTCTGGCACAACTCAAATGCTGCCACTTCCTGATTGATTCTGTTCTTTCTTTCTGCCTATGTAGTCGTTTTCCCATTTGGCAGTGGGCTCTGTCGGTTGGCGCCAATGCATCTGAAAAGACAGAAAGGCTGAACACACTGTCGGCTGCGTTAAGGGAAGCCTTAAGTTCAACTGGCTGAGACAAAAGCAGTATTTATCCACAGTGGTGGCCCTTTGTGTCGGAGCTTGCTCATTTTGAGAAGGGAAAAGGCTCATAGACTTATTGCAGCTTGTTCAAGTGGATCTGAATGGAACACATAGAAGAAAAGAAATGGCTGTACAGACAATTACACATGATTTCAGTCAGCATAATTAGTGTTTACTATTTGTTTCAATTGGCAAGGCTTTTAGCTATTTTCTTAACAGCGTAACTGGCATAAGACACACAGTTTTTATTTTCACAGAAGTTGCAAATAGGAGGTATTAGCTAAAGCTATTTGCTGCTTTTGAAAGTTCACACCCTAAATCCACCTGTCACTCACAGGTGGATGGGGTAAAGTATCTGTGCTATTTGATATATGATAATATCACAATATTGTCTTAGGAATCATATCCCTATTTGATTTTTATTGTGTATTGCACAGCTCTGGTTGTAAAGGTAATGCATTTTATATTATATATTCATGTACATGTAGACCAGACCTTAGCATTTGAACTAATACGTTCATCGTACATCCATCGTGTCAAAATATATGCGGCATTTGCTAATATTATACCTGCAGATGTAGAGTATTGTATGGATGTTTTGTAGATTTTGCAAGTACAGCCCTTTTCTATATAGTTTTAGTTTAAATATTAAACCTTATTATAGTCAAGTGTTTCTAACTTTGGACCTTTGAACAGTAAACAGAGACTCTGGGTGAGGAGTTGAATGACTGACATCCCGAAGCTCACCCTGAGGTGTTGGAGAAAGGCTAAAGATCCCTCAGAGGTCAAAGGACACGTACACACCTCGTCCGCTCTGATTAGGCCTGAGACAAAAGAGGGAATGGAATTACACATCTCTGGTGTCTGTGGCGGATGTCAAACACTAGGGACACTTAGGTCAGTTTAGTTAGCAATTCAGATATTGTAACAATGCAATTAAGACACAATTTGATGCAATTCACAATTTTTACATCACTTTATAATTTTCTAATAATGTATATAACAACATAGAAATTCTGCTAATCACCTTTTTGCATTTTGACATAGTTAACTGAAGATGGTTGCAGTAGTCAGTAGACTGTTAAAAATATTATTCCTAGTTATTTTCATTTTGGTACCATTTTGAATTACATCTTAATGTAAGTGTTACTTTTATTTATTTATTTTTTTTATTTCAATGATTGTATGTGTGTTTTTACACACAAGAACTCGAACTGAGCTGAGCTAGGAATAAAACCAATAGATTTCAGCTTGCTCAAATCTTCTAACGACATCTGGCCTGACTAAAAGATATTACATTCACACTGACAAATAACAGCCATTCTGTGAGGTTGCCATGGTTTCTAAGATGTTTACCCCAAAATACAAACTAAATTTAAGTGTTTGTTTTTGGAGATGCTGTGTTGGTCCAGAAATCCTCCTTACTCGGTGGGCTTAACATCAGTCACCGCCTCTTCAATAGTGTGGGAAGGGGGGTTGCTCCCATACAAGTGGTGGTGATGGGGGTGTGCTTTCTACAATAGACATTTTGGAGGGAAATCAAAACACCAGGGATGCAGTGGGAAAAGCCAAATTATACTTACAACTCATAAAATCAAGTTGAATATTAAATTAAGTTGCTGTGATTATACCATCTTTTTGATATGTTGTGAGTGGCAGGAGACTACATCTGGCAACCTGGCATTTTTTTAGTATTATAATCCACCCAATGCTGTAATATTAGCAAGTGAAAAGTATGCATTCTGGTGGAGCTCCTTGGTTGATGAATCAGTATGTTTTTTGCTATACAAATTCAATGAGGACCAACCCTGAAGTGAATGCAGCCAGCAGGGGCACTACAACTTACTTTTACTCCCCAGAGAAGATAACCCATCCCCCCAGTAAACTCCCCCAGGGTCTCCTCAGGTCATGCTCTCCAGGGTCACCAAGCCCCCTCCAACCCCCATCCTTCCCGAGATCCTTCACTCAACCCGGGCCAAAACATCTCAGGCAGACATAATGAGATCCAGGCTAATTGTGGATAAAAGTGTGTCGGTGAAAATGTGATTACACACTTAGTTTATATGGGGACTTAGTTACCTGTTTGATATGGATACAAGCACATTGAGGTAGTTGCATTTGAAGATTAGCAATGGCTTGAAGAATTTGCTGGCTGTGAACTGTGTCACAGTCTTTCATCATAGATAGACATTTGAGTGACAGGCATGCAGCAGGAAAAACAATTAGGACACTATACACAGGTCACTGAGTTAAT